CCCCCCAAACCCTCACTCAGCTCCCAAAAGGGTCATGATACACGGCTGGTTGTGCTCCCTGTTCCAACGGCCAGTAGGATGTGGTTGGTTTTCCATGAGCAGGAAGCTTGAATCACCCCTGGATCACTTGCCTCCTTGGAAGGAGAAGAAACTGTTCTTGTGCATGTGTGTGTGTGTCAGAGGGAGAGACAGAGAGAGACAAAGAGAAAGAGAGCAGGCAGGAGCGCTAACCCATGTGCAGCGCTGAGCTTGGGGCTAGTGTCCTATTGTGATCTTGCCCTTACTGAACCACCTCTTTACTCCTCTCCCTCAACTCAAGTCCCTTCCCTTCTCCTGCCCAGCTTACCAGGCAGGCCCCACTAGATCAGCTCCAGGAAGCCCTCCAGGTCTGAACAGCTGTTCCTTGTTTATCTGTTTCTCTTGTGTGTTGGGTGTTTTCCACGGGGCATGTCGCCCAATTTCCCATCCCACTATGAGCAGCTGGTCCTTCCTTTTCGCCTCAGCCTTTCCTTTTCTCTCAGCGTCACCTACCAGATCCTAAGCGAACTCTAGCGTTCTGGTGATCGCCAGATGGAAGGAACAGCAGATGGAAACAAGTGTACGCTGAACGTGCTTGATAGGGGCCAGGTACTAAGTAGAACGCTCTACCCGAAATTATCTCAATTTTCCAAAAGTCCTGTGAGGTTACGAGTGAGGAAACTGAGGCCCAAAGTGGCCGGCCCCAGGGTGACACAGCCAGGAAGAGCCAGAGGCTGGATTCGAACCCTGATCTGCCCCACAACACTAGTTCGGGAATGGAACCGGCCCCGACATGGCCCTTTCTGCAGCCGCATGTCCTTCCTCCTGTAATGCTGGATCCACACTCTAAGGGCTTAGAGAAAAACTGAAGGGCAGAGAAATGAATGGGTCTGGAGCCAATTCCTAAAAATGTACTCCCAGGACCAAGACCGAATTCTGCAATGATCTAAACACACAGGAGAATGTACTATTTCCACAGTGTTGATCCTTAAATTATCACCTCCCGCAATAGCGGGGACCAGCTATCATCCTGGATCTGCTCCGTTCTCCCTGCCTCACCGTGCTCGCCCTCCACTGCCTCCACAAACTCACCTCCGTAGTATGTGGTGAACGGCCCATACAGTGAGGCGGTCCTCCATGACACCCCGCACTGCTCTCGTGAGGACAAGCAAGCCTGAGCCTGGTCTCCCCACCCTGACTCAAGTTGATGAAAGGGCCCCATTTTAGATTCATATCCTCCTTGGGAGGCAAGCTAACCTGAGTTTATGAAGATCTGTCTTATCCTAACTGGGAGACTCCGGGCAATCTCCAACCTCTCCAAGTTCACCCTCTGTCTAAAGGACTCAAAGAACCTACCCTGGGTTAGAGTACGTACATTAGGGTACATTCAATGAACTGTCAGAATCACACGAATTCACACATGTTAAGCGTGTGGCACCACCAACTGTAGTAACTACTAACACTGGCTATTATTTACATTCCCTAAAGAGTCCTGTAGAGGATCAGAACATTCATGACTGATACTTGTCTGAAATAATCAGGAAAGGAAACCACTCTAAAAGCACAATGCCTCCCAAATCAAAACAAACAATCTGTTCTAGAGAAACGAACTTCTCTCCACCACCAAAGGACTCGACATATGCCTACACACGCATGTGAGTGCAAAGAATTATGGTAAACCTGCACTAATAGCCTTATGGAAGACTTTGAAATGAAGTTATCTGCAGGTTGCATCCAGCATATCAGGACCATTTGAGAGACAAGTAGCCTGAGGCCAAAGCCACTTTACCTAAGGTCTCCCCAGCCAGGCACAGCTCGTAAAAGCTAAGAGAGGAACCCAACTCCAGGCCAGGAAGCCTGGCCTAAGCAGCAGGTGCCCACTTTCCCCAAACCCCACCCAAGCAGGGGCTTGGCAGAGAGGAAGGAAGCAAGGGCTGACAGCACCATCCAAATGATAGAAGCCACTTGCCCGTCTTTCATAAACAGACCCTTGGTGTTCAGGCAGCTCCCCTCGTCCTGGAGACAAGCACACCCTTTGCTGGATGTCCTGAGAAAAACTTCTCAGTGTGTTCCCAGTGTTCTGGAGCCAGCAGAGCCCCTCCTGCTTGGGCCCCAGGCCTCCCATCAGCCAGCTCCAGCTAACGTGCACATCCCATAAAACCTCTCTGCTCTGCAATTTGCCAAACCACAGACTAAGAATTCACCGTCAGTGGAGGAGAGGCGGGAAGGGGGCATGCTTCTCCAGCACAGAGGGCTTCCAGAACATCTGTGACTTGGGTGCACCAGAGTACCTTACCCAGAACACTTGACCTTCTGGTGTGTGGTGTCCATTGTGCAAGGGCCAAGAGAGGAGGAGATCCTAAGCTTCAGAGGTAAAAGCTCCCCCAACCTGCTCCTCCTGCCCCTCTGAGCCCTGCTGACACTTTCTATTACGGGGCCCCCTCTCCTTATATTATGTCCCATTGATGCCCCAAATATGTAGTAACCTCTGATGATCACCAGATATCCACCAGATCACCTAGTCAACTCCAACCAGACTTAGGGTACTTGGATGAACAAAACCCACACCATGGGCAAAATGCCAGGCAAACCCAGGTGCTATTAAGAGCTGTGTTGCAAGTGACTTTACCCCTTCTGGTTTTCAGTTTCCCCATCTGTAAAATGAGGAGTTGAGCCTGAGGAGTCCTGCCAGCTCCACAATTCCACAACATGTAACACTTTCTCCTTTAATTGTTTTCCACAACTTTAGTTTAGAGCTCTGTATGGCCCCAGCTGTTCAGTGACATCACTCCCTGCCCCAAACATAATGTCGATTCTTACATGGGAAGCAGAGATGTCCTGGGAAACACTGTCCACAAAAAGGGAGGAAATGATCATTTCAAGGGAATTAGACAGGAGTTCTTTTGTGTTTCTCACATAGAACAAGTTATTATCAATCTTAAAACCCAAAATCTTTCTTTCTTTTTTGCCAGACCATTAATAGCTGCTTTTCAAAAGTGCTTTCTTAGTCAGAATCTCACCAACAATAAGCTACCATTTAGTGAGTGCTTGTTATATGCCAGGAACTGTGCTAAGTGCTTTTCATGGATGATCTCATTTAATTCTCCAGACAACCCTATGACATAGGTACTATTATCATCCACACTTTAAAAATGAGGAACCTTGAATCCCTCAGAGGTTAAATAACCTACCCAAAGTCACAAAGCTAGTTAGTGGCTGACCCAGGCTTTGAACAAGACCCTCTGCCTCAGAGCCCCACAGCTAACCACCTTTCAGTACTGTCTGTGGTGGGTTCCCAGTTGCTTTAGCAACATTTCTGGCTTGTTGCCAGTGTACCCTACCTTGTAATCTCAGGCATCACTGGTCAGAGCTAAGATGTGAAGTTTCACCTAAAATCAAGAGCGGGAAGAAAGCAGCTGCCTGGGTCCCAGAGCAGAGAGTGCCATCTGTTGAACGTAGGGCCAGGCTTAACTGAGAACTAGAAAACAGAACCCCTAAAACTTAGCTTGTGACATTTGAGAAAAACGGTTAGGAAGGCCGACTTGATACTAAGTGCTGGGATGTGCAAAGGCACATCTGTACCTGGAGTAGGGTGACCATACAATGCCCCAAGTCCTCCAAAAGGAGCTTTCTTGAAATGGCAGCTTTCTTGAATTGAAGATGCTTACTTGCTGAGCCAGATAACACAAAAGGAACAACTCTCCCATGGGCACCCACCTCTCTGTCTGGTCCAGGAACCAGACTCCTTGGCTTACCTCCTCTCCAATCTGAGACCAGGCCCATTTACTCCACTCCAGAAAACCAAAACAAACAAAACAAAAAACAAACCCAAAGTTCAGAGCTACTGGTGATAAAGACAGAAAGAGTAGCCTGAGGCTGACATTGGCACAAACCCCAGTCCTCTTCAAACAGGGAAATGAAAGGCATTTCTCAGAGATCAATGTGCAGTCTAGGGCAGCAACCTACAAGCTGTTTTGTTTAAATTAATGCTTTGAGCATTCTAAATACTCCTTTAAGTGCCTAATTTGCAAATAAGATGCAGTCCTTCTGCTTTGGGTGCCTGGCTGGCTCTTCTAACTCAAGTACAGGAGCAAAGCGGTTCAGACAGGCGTCCTCAGCCATTAAGGACACCATGTTTACTTCCTAAGGTGCGAAGGATGGGAAGACAGGACCGGCTGAGATGAAAGGGGGACGAGGCACACAGACCCCGGAGCTCAGCTCAATCAACCTTAGCCCCTTCTCATTAATTGTGGGGAAGGAAGGGGGAGGGGCAGCCGGCCGTTCCTTGGAGACCACAGCAAACATTTGCCTCCTCGTGTCTGGAGACGGAGCATCACTTAAGAGGAAATGAACCCGGTTAAGGGTCACGTCCAGAGAAGGGATAAAAGGAAAAGCCACAATTCTCCTCACACCGACGGACACAATGACTTTAACAAGGAAACCAAAGCTCGGGGCTGAGGGTGGAGGTGGGGCAGGGGGCGCGGCGGCTTCGGCCCGCAGACCCAGGCCTAGGGAGGCAGAGCCCAGGGCAAACGTGGGAGCACAGCGCGAGGCTTCCTTCCCCTGGGCGAGCCTCTGAAAGCATCACGGTCCGTGATGCTTGAGCGACTCAAGCCCCCAGGGAGGGCCGGGGAGATGCTCTTTCCCAACGGAGCTTCTCAGCGAGGGTTTGACGAAAGCTCCCCCCAACCATCCATCAAAGCTCCGGCGGGCAGATGACTTCACCGTTGTAACAGACAAGGGCAGCCACTTGCCAATTCCAATGCCAAAAAAAGAAAACGGGGGGCGGGGGGAGTGGAGAAAGGACAGAGAAGGCTTCCCTGGAGATCACAGCCCTGCGAAGGAACTCCACAGCCAAGGGCTGCCCTGTGGGCACTCAGCTCCGGGACTTAGCGGGTGGGGCAAGGGGCCCTCCGGGGGGGGGGGTCCTCCGGGGGGTCTCTGGCCAACCCCCCGCAGGGTTCGGTAGGGTCAGTACTCACGTAGTGCTTGGAGGGGTTCCTCCGCTTCTCCACGTCCACCACCGTGGCATCTTGCACGCAGTAGGCCAGCATCTTCCCCCCCCCACAAAGCGAGTGGCGCCCTCCAGCGGCGTCACCTTCTCATCCCGGTCGGGCTCCCGCTTCTTGTCCCGCTTCCCGGGTCCCGGGGCCACCCGCCACTCCGGCCCGGCGCGCCGCTGCCCGGGGTCCCGGCGCTCACAGGTACGGCCCCGGGGCGGGGACGGTCCGGGAGGGTACGCAGGCTCCGTGCGCCCCGGGCGGCTCCCCGTGGGCCTGCCGCGCGCCCCTTCCCTCCCGCGCCGCCGCCGCCGCCGCCGGCGGGAACTGGCGGAGCGGAGGAGGGGCGGGGGTGTGTCCCGCCGGCGAGGGGACGGGGCGGGGGCCCCGGAGCCTGCTGTCAGCGCGCTGG